AAGGGCTACGTTTTTCATTTTAATTTTAGCCAATGTAAATATAAATAGCTACAAGTGGTTAGTGCTAGTGCTACCATATTAAACAGCTCAGGTTTTAGTTACCTTTAAGATTTGTAGCCAATTAAATCAATTTTACCTCATAGTCTTGTTAATTTAGGTCATGGCCCACAACATCACATCATTTGGTCATGTAACATGTCTCACATTCATTTCTTCACCATATAGTTCTGTTACTCCTCTGCATTAACCAAACTGTTCTTACTCTTTCTCTCCTTCAAAAAGTACTCCATTGTGCTCTCTAAAATTCTCTTCCAAGATACATTAATATTTCACAACCTCAGATGCTTTACTGAATCCTCCTTTCCATCTTGGCTTAGCTGCAATTTGGATCCTTCAAGATACTAATGCCCTTGGAACTCTTTCAATTGGAAGATGCTCATTCTTTCAGATCCCATATACATTAGGGTCAGGAGAAGGTGTTGGTACTTCTAGGTTTACCCAACCCTGCAACTTCAGGTGATCATTCCTATCATTCCTCCATCATCCTATGAAAACTTCAGCTGCTTTCTCACGAGATGTCCTGCTCTCTACTTACTCATGGTAGAAGCAAGCCACCAACTTCCCAATAACTCCGCAAAATGCATTGGGAATTTAAGCATGTGGCCCGCAGACATCTATCAAATGTACACCTAAGCAATCTCCACATAACTTTTGTTCTAATCTATTTTTTTTCTTGTTTCTTGAATTCACTATAGTCTCTCACTCCCACACCCACATCAGATCCTTGTCCAACCAGAACATTCTTTCAATTATTCCCACTATGCCTGTCCTTTGACCTCACAGGACACTCTAATCCCTTGACTTCTCCCTCCCTATCCCTACCCTTCTGCCCACCCAACCCCAGTCTTGACTTTCTTATCCATTCAGTTAAGACTTCACAATCGTCACTTCAACCACTTTTCTACCAATATCTTCAACTGTCCTACCCTCCTATTCTATAGCAGCTGCCTAGCTAAAGACTAACACAGAATTGATCCAACTCCATAATTCATTTAGTAAGTATTTATTCAAAGTGCTTGGCATCTTCCCAGGAGCTGGATATATAATCAAAAAACAATAGGTAATCCAAGTTCAGAGAGTTAACAAGTAAAAGAATCAGGACTAGAACTCAAATCTGTTTGACTCCAGATCCCCAACTCTCCAGTCCTTTCTCCAATGGATTTCAAATTTTATCTAATTTAATTAAAATGTGACCACACTATTTCCCACTCTTTTAAACAGATGATGTCATCACCAACCTCTCAACTTCCAGGCATTATGCCTACAAACATAAAAGCGTCTATACACATTCACTCTTCCTCCCCCATCCATTCTTCCTCCTCTCCTAACACAAAGGAAAAGGGTATTCCTCCTTTCAAAGGCTGATCCATTTGCATTACATTCCTACCTTCTCAGAAGTCTCTATGTATTTTGTTCCTCAACAATATATTCATATTTTAGCCCTCAGCTTTGTCAAAAATTACTTCTATAACACCCTTTGGTCATTATTCCTCAAATGCCCACCCACCCTCCACCTCAGTTACTAGTAATCTTTCTGTATATTTCCCAAGACTGTAAGCTCCATTCAGCAGTTAACTGCTTTTTATTTTGTTCACAACCGTATGCTCAATCCTTAGTACAATATATATATAGCACATAATAGGCATGTAGAACATATACTGAATAAACAAATAACCATGATTACAATCATCCTTATCATTTTTCCAGCCAATAATAATTTTAAAATTTGAAAACAATTCAAAATAAAATTAATGACAATTACATCCTAGGGAATACAAAAAGACATACCTCCAGTTCATTTTCCAGTTTCATTACTTTAGTTTTTAATTGATTTTCTATTTAAAAAAAAAAAAAGACAAATGTTTTAATTGATTAGTTACCACAGAACAAACTTTTACATAAATTTTAATAACAAAATTAATTCTTTTAAAAGAGTCCATCATGATTATAAGGTAACAAAAAGTATTATACGGCAGATCCATAAAACAGGAGTCTAGAAATATGTATTATTAAATAAATGTTATATATTAAAAATAAATTGAATATATACAGTTTATAGAATTTAATTTTCTACAGCTTAATGAACAAATAGGAACTCATTATTTAATAACATAATACACTTTTTCCAAGGTGCTTACCAAATTTTGCTTGTTCTTCTCCAGCTTTTTCTACTTCCTCCAAAGCCAGCTCTACTTCTTGAGCTTTCATCTAAACATTTTAAAAAAGGTTATTTCAATATGCCTTTAAACTGGAATGTAAGCACTGAAAATAAAAATTTTGTTTTATTATGCTCATTAGTGCCAGCAATGGCTGGCACATGGAGACTTTCAGTAAATATTTGTTGAATAAATAAATAATTTTTTCTCTCCTTTTTTTTCGCTTTTGAGATAGGGCCTCACTTTGTCACCCAGGCTGGAGTGCAGTGGCACAATCTCAGCTCACTGCAACCTCTGCCTCCTGGGCTCAAGCAATCTTCCCATCTCAGTCTCCTGAGTAGCTGGGACTACAGGTGCATGCCATTATGCTCGGCGTGCCATCATGCTCGGCATGCCATCATGCTTGGTGTGCCATCATGCTCAGCAAATTTTTTCGTAGAGGCAAGGTCTCACTATATTATCCAGGCTGGTCTCCAACTCCCAGCCTCAGGCAATCCTCCTGCCTTGGCCTCCCAAAGTGCTGGGATTATAGACGTGAGCCACCATGCCAGGCAATTTTCTTACTTAAGACTACAATTTCTAGATTTTTAATAGCATGAAACATTTTTGATTCTCCCTTTTACCTCAAGTCCTCAAGTCTTATATCCAGTAAAGCAACATATCTCTTTGTAATGTTTTTCCACTACTTTTTTTCTGTTCCAATTGCTATTATTCTAATGCATAATTTCAGGTTTAAACTCCTCTATAATGTGATGTTTGCAAAGCTCCAATTTCCTTCAGTTTGTCCTATATAATAGACTCAGTTTTGCCTTCCTAAGGCCTATTTTTGTACCTATCAACTGTGGTTCGAAAACCTTCATTGCCTTCTCAATTGCTGACAGCATAAAATACACCTTTAATGACCTCAAGAACCTATCTCAAAGTACCTACCCAAGATTTATTTTCTCTACAGCCTGCTACAAACTTGCTGCACCGCATTTCCTCAAATGTAAAGAATAAACATATTTCCTATCCTCAATATTTATTTATGGTAACCAACAGCTCTAGAATTCCCTTACTATCTTACCACTGCGTTACCTTCCACTTACCTAAAACTACTCCTCAGTATTCATCCTCTGTGAAGTCTTCTGACACCTCTTAGATCACTTCCCCTCTTAACAAATCCCTATAGCAGTCATTGTCTGCATTTGTCATTTGGACCTCAGGATATATTTCCTTATGTTATTTTTCAACATACTCATTCTATTTCCCCTACATACCCTTTTAGAAACTTTAAGTAGAAACTAGCAATGTTTTACACACTAAAATACTTAATCTACATTTAAATAGATTGCACTTTTGAAGGGTGATGTAGATATTACCAAGTATTTTCACAAAGATTACTTTATATAAGAACAGATTTTTATAGTTCCTCTAATAGCCAAACCTATCGTTAAAACCTACTACATACAAACCTTCATTAGTGACTGAGTAATTCTGAAAAGGTGTATCACATTTTCTTGCTTTTCACTTTTTAGCTCATTTACTTCCACCTAAGTAAACAGAAAAGCAACTGTTTTATATTTTATAACCTTTAAGCAAAATATAAGAACTCTTCCAGATTGTGACAATTAATAGTTGTTTCTGAAAAAAAATTCATATTTTATTAATAATCATAAGTTAATGTATATATCTATTATTATTGACCAAGTAAGCACCTTGGATACGGAAATCAATAAATTATCTGCCAGTTCTTCTTGACGGGGCAGGTCATCTGGGTCAACTTTCATTATTTCTTTCCAGTTTATATTAGGTGGCATCTTGAATTCTTTCACTGTGCTCCACCTCTGTAACAAAACAGGTGGATATTAGCATTTTCAAGGTACACAGCATTATTGGTTTTCTAATAGCTTCCATTTTTTGCAGATTATTTCATTATAACTTTCTTATGTTAGCAAAGAACTATGCCTTAGCCACAAAACAGACAAGTGGGCAAAATAGCCTTGATCAAAAATAGCAGTCGGCACAAACTGTCAGAGAGTGTACTGGCTAAATAAAATGTGACAGCTTCCTTGCTAACACTAATCTAAGTTAGGACTAAGATTTCTGGGTCCCTTCCTCCACACCGCCTACCCACAAGGCGCGCGAACACCCTAATCCTGGCAAGCGCGAGGGTCTGTGGAAGGCTGACAATGATCCTTGATTTGGAGAAGCAGAATTGGGGCTGGGGGAAAAAAAAAAAGAAGCAGAAATTAACAATTGGAATGAGTGAAGTTGTGCGGCGGAAACCGGAACCGAAGTAAGGCAGGATTACGGACCCGAGGCTGGAAGGGACGGGGTAGCTGCGCTGCGGCACACGGGCCCTGAGGCTAAAGAACCTGAGCGTGGAGTGACTCGCTGATCCTGCTTACAGGGATCCACCCACCTACACCAAGCCTGGCAACCAGCGGAGGTCCCTCACTACCACAACCACCAAGCTGGACAGATCCCTATCGCGGTTCCACGCTGACTCTGGGTCCAGCCAAATGGTCCCCAAGGAAGCCAAAGCGGCAGCGGCTGCTAAGCGACACCATCCCTAACTCCGCCGGGGCCAGAAGAAGATCCCGGATGCAAAGAGAGCCTACAATTCACGACCGTGGGTGATGCTTTACGTTTAGATTCTCCGCCGGAGTCCCAGGACTCGGTGTTCAGGGTGATGAGAAGGCGTGGAACGAGGACTCCAAATCCCAGAGTGCAGATGTGCCTCAGGTTTGTGCATGCTGGGAACTGAAGTCCCTGAGAAGAGGAGGTAAGGCGCTCCCGGCGTGCAACGCGGAAGGCTGCGACAGTACCGGGGCGGCGGGGAAGGACCGAGAGGCGGGAGGCGCAGCGGCTGAGGCGCCTACGAGCTGGTGGCCTGAACGAGGTAGACCATGACTGTGGCTTTAGTGGCGTCACTCGCTGGGCCGCTCTTCATGAGGTTTTCCTAAGCCATCCCCTGCCGGAACCGCTTCCAGGTGAGGTCGAGCTGTCGGTCAGCGTATTGGGAGGAGTTGAGGGGAGCAGTCCTGGGTTGGAGAAGCTTCTGCTATTGGGGCCGTAGGGCCTGGCCCCATTCTGAAAAAGTGGAAACACCCTGCCTTCTCTTCAGGCGTTTGCAGGCGGCGTCCAGGGTAGTGCCTTCTGTAAGAAGGAAAAAACAAAAAGTTTTAGCCTTGTTTAGTATCAGAATCTGTCTTGGTAGAGTGAGAGCCGCGCAGCCGTGATCCTCGTTTGGGGGCGAGCGAAGAATTGACAAGAGGTCTCGGCATCCTCTGACCCCGCCCGCCTTACCTGTAGCACCATTCCCTTCGCGGATGGTGGGACTTGATGGTTGTGGAGCTAGTATAAAGGAAAGGCTCTAGAGAGGAGAGGTTAGTGCTTGTCCGGGCCACTGCCGGGGGTGGAGAGAGAAGGTACCCGAGGACTCACCTGTACTATTGTCACTTGCTTGGTTACCTAGGGTGTCCTTCCATGAAAGTGCCTTCTCTGCTGTTTACCACGCTTACTTGTGCAAGTTTTGCTCATCCTGCTCATCTACTCATAGCCATACTGGAGTGCGATACACCTCTAACTAACTTTCCTAAGAAGCTGTAGATTTAAATGTAAATGACATTTCCAACTATCTGTACCAGTGCTTCTCATCTTTCTTTCTTTCTTTTTTTTTTTTTTTTAACGCTGCTTTAAAAAAAATTTTACTATACTTGATGGTAAATTTTCCTTTCGAAAATAAGTAATGAATTTCTTTTTAAACTCCCAATTTGGGTAAAATAAATAGCTCAGTACAAAATAAAAATATACTGGTTTTGTGAGATAAATTTTAAAGACATTAGTTAGATTTATAGGAATGACAATTTTACTACTTTTCTGAAAGATTTTATGCCAAATACTATTCATTATCTTGTTTATTCTTCCTTACAATCCAGTGAAATAGGTGCTTACGTTGTCCTCATTTTCCATCTACGTTAAGAAACTGAGGTTTGGAGAAGCTAAGTACTCTAACTTAAATAGTGTGATTGAACACAGATCTCTCTGGCTGGAGGACATATTCTTAACTTCTATACACCTCCTCAGACATTCTGGGAAACCAGTATTTGTGAAGTGCTTGTGCCTCAATCTTGCTGTTTTTATTAAATGTTATATTTTAATTTTGTACGTGTTTACTCAATTAATTTGAATTAAATATTCTTCATGTTCAGTGTTCTTAATTCATAATTTAACATGAGATGGTGTTTCTGGAAAGGGGTTCTGATCCAGACCCCAGGAGAGGGCTCTTGTATCTTGTCAAGAAAGAACTGGAGGTGCACACACCCCCATTGGAGGTGCTAGACTAAGGATTCTTATAGTTATTTCTTGATTATATGATAAACAAGGGGTGGGTTATTCATGAGTTTTCTGGGAAGAGGGTAGGCAATTCCTAGATCTGAGTGTTCCTCCCCTTTTTAGACCATATAGAGTAACTTCTTCACATTGCCATGGCATCTGTAAACTGTCATAGCGCTGGTGGGAGTGTCTTTTAGGATGCTAATGCATTATAATTAGTGTATAATGAGCAGTGAGAACTACCAGACGTCTCACCTTTCTCACCATCTTGGTTTTGATGGGATTTGGCTGGCTTCTTTACTGCATGCTGTTTTATCAGCAAAGTTTTTATGACCTATACCTTGTGCCGACCTCCTATCTCATCCTGTGACTTAGAATGACTGATATCCTGAGAATGCAGCCCAGTAGTTCTCACCTTTATTTTACCCAGCCCCTATTCAAGATGGAGTTGTTCTGGTTCAAATACCTCTGACAATGGTAGGAATGAAATTTAATAGTTACTGAGCACATGTTATGTCATACGCTATTCTTACTACTGCGTGTTTATTTTCATAATAGAAATCTGTTTACTGTAACACCTTGTTTTTCTTATTGTTTTTTCATTCATTACAACTTATTTTTATGTATTCACTTATAAGTTTTGTTTTGGTTATCTGTATTACTCTTTCCTGCCCTTACTGTCACCACCCTCTTGCTCACATTCATAAACTCAAGGTGCCTGGTCTCTAATGGTAAATTTTATTTTGATTTTTCAGAAGCAAGAACAAGTTCATAGAAGTTAAGTAATAATTGATGAAGCTAAGATTGTAACCTAGATCTCAGTGACAATTGTAACTAAAAGCAAAATCTTACCTAAATTTTATTCTTTAACTCATTCTAACAATGTTTTTTATCTTGTTCCCTGTGCTAGGCACTGGGGATACAGCAGTGAACAAGTCAGCTCTGTTGAACAAGTCAACTAAGTTTGTATGCATTGTAGTCTGTTTGTACCTAACTGTGAATCAGGAAATTTAACTCAAGTTCTAGTTAAGTAACTCACTGTGTATTTTTGAGGAAAATTACCAGAAGTCTATTATTTTTCATCAGATTTTCTGCATCTGTCAGTTTTCATCAAGAGATGGGACTTATGTGACAATTTTGTAAGTGGCCTTGTTGTAAGAACACTTGTCTGAACCTGCCTTCTTTCTGCCCTAGGCTTTTGTGATCAGTTTTATCTGACCAAAATCACTTAATGAGAAAGCCTCACCTTTTATAATTGCTTACTTTTGTTCTCAGTAGCAATGAATTTATATTCCTTAGATGTTACTTCTAGTTCATTTTTGCTGACTTACCAAGAAAAGTCATAGTAGCTTACTTCTCCAATCTCTAAAACAAAGCATGGCTGTTTTATATTCATTGTGTATCCTAAACATTTTTTTTTTGCCTTATTTTCATGGCAAATTAAGCCATGGTTAATGACTTAATTCACACTGACTCCCTACTAATCTTTCCAGTTTCCTCATGTTGAAGGAAGACAAGTGTCTGCTTGCTGTGCACTTCAGATAAGGTGAACATAAAGTAGCTACCTGTGGAGATATTTAACATTTTATTTGTAGCTGTCTGCTTAAGAACAAAAGGAGAGGCAGTTTCTTGCATGACTCAGCTTTTACCCTAATTTTTTCTTTAGGCATAATGAATTGGGATCCCAAGTTTTATTTTCCTTTCACATTTCCAATTGCACTTGGATTTTGTGCACGTATATAGTAACACCCCATTTTTGTAAGCAAACAGAAATCAGTCATCCCATCCACTTAAACTGCATCTGTGAGTCTGCTTCTGTGCCTAGGAAAATTAGAAGTTCTCACAACTAACAAGAATAATGTGTTACATGTTTACAATAATGGCCCCCAGTGAGTCATGTCCCCCTGGATCTATGCCTTTGTGTAAATCTCTTCCTTCCCTGCAACTCTACTTTGCAGGTGACTCTTGAAAGTAACCTGAGATGACACCACAACTGAGTTCATAATATGCTCTCTCTCCCTTTCTCTCATATTACGCTCCCTTGGGGAATATTAACACTTCTGTTATCTTGGCCCTTTTATAACTATCTTCCCCGTTGATTCAGGATGTACCTTGCTTAAATGATAATTTTTAAAATATGCATTAAATAGAGCCTTATAAAGAGCTTGTACATTGATCCTTGCCCTCCTATTGTCCTGAGATCATCATTTAAGAAGCCCAAGCTAAGCTGTTAGAGAATGTGATAATAAGTAGCAGAGACTAGCTTTCAAAGCTGAGAAATCTACCCTTTAAAAGCCATCCAGCCCTAATCAAGCCACTGGATAACTATAAGCACATGAGTGACCCCAGGCACAACTAAAGAAGAATATATACATACCTTTATGTTTAGATATATATATATCAAATAAAGATATATCAAAGAATTGAATTATTTTGAATGTATTCATTTTTAAGTACTTCAGATGCCTAACTTAAGGAAAACTTTCTTAATACTTGAACTGATTAAATTTAGGAAATAAAACTAAAAACTATAGCAAATCTCAAGTTCTTATAAAAATTCCAATACTATTTGTGTATTTAGCTAAATTATTATGCTTTTCAACTGTAGTTGTGAATCCAGAAATTACATAGTAGTTTAATATGTTTATTATGTTTAATATGTTTCTTATACATATTACTATATATTTTTAAAATTATAGTTATACAGCTAATATATCAAAGTCTCCAGGATGACAGATTCTCTTAAAGGTTGCAATTACTCTAAAAAATCAGATGCATAATTTAATATTTTTATTATGCATATTATATATTTTTAATATTTTTAATTATTTAATTTATTTTAAATTATTTTCATGTATTTAACAATAATTTAATAGCTAATGTATCAAAGTCTCCAGGATGCTAGATTCTCTTAAACATTGCAAGTATTCTAAAAATTAGATACATACGTTGTTCCCAAGTATAACTTTAAAGTATTGAAACCACAGGTTTAATTTACTTTTTTCTTCTATTAGTTTTAAACTTTCCTATAGTTAAAACATTTAACCGAACAACAGTTTGTCACCCCAAGTGAATTGATGTTACCAAACCAGTGGCCTGAGATTATTTATGGGAAGAGAGATTTCTGACCTGTACACAAAACTTGATTTTTACCTACCCAAAGATAGATATCCTGAGTTGTTCCATTTGGTTTTTCTAAATTATAACATGTCTATATAGCTGTCTTATATTGGATCCCATTTCCTGATTTCTGTATCTTTGTTTTTTAATATACTGCTACATTTTAGTAGTGTACCTTTTCTCTGAGTTTCTTGAAAAGGAACATCAGAGGTAAATTTTTTGAGACCTTTAGTGACTTAGGTTTTTATTCTGCTTTCCCATGTGGGAAATTTAGGTTTATGAATATAGAATTAGTTTAGAAATCAATATTCCTCAGAAGTTTGAAACATTACTCTTTTTTTGTTTTGGAAGGGAATTTTTTGTTATGTTTTGTTTCTAGCTTACAGCATTTTGGGTGAAAAAAAAATGATTTTTGATTCCTGATTCTTACTCTGGAACCTTTTTTATTTCCAGAAGCTTTTAGAATCCTAACTGTTCGCAATGTTGCAAAGTTTTATGGAATTTTGTGCCCAGTAGAAAAGGGTTGGAGGGTCTCAACCTAAAATATATGGACAGACTTTTTTTTACTTAACCTTTATTTTCAATATGCTGCCTTTTCCCTGTTATCAGAGACTCTATGTTTTAAATAATCCACAGAGGAAATATCCAGTTTTCTGCCTTGGAATAGGAGAGAAGGTTACTTGGCTGTATCCAGTAAGAGAGGGGGCTGACATAGTGTCCCTGTTATCAGAGACCCTATGTTTTACAGAGGAAATCTCCAGTCTTCTTCCTTGGAATAGGAGAGAAGTTTACTTGGCTTTATCTACTAAGAGAGGGGGCTGAGTTTTAACAGGTGATTAGCTTATGCTTCTTAAAAGTGGATGGCATTTTAGCTGAGCTTTTCTCTGGAGAATTAATATGCAATTACTTACCTACCTACTAAAATTAAACTTACTTGGAATAAATATGTTCCTTATTTTATCTTTATGATTTTTTTTCCAGTTTTCGTCCAGAAGTGCTTATAGAAAAGATGGCTGACATTAACCTAAAAGAAATAACCTTAATAGTAGGTGTGGTTGCTGCCTGCTATTGGAACAGCCTCTTTTGTGGTTTTGTTTTTGATGATGTTTCAGCAATACTGGATAACAAAGACTTGCATCCATCTACACCTTTAAAAACTTTATTTCAAAATGACTTCTGGGGAACCCCTATGTCTGAGGTAAGTATTTATATATTACTTGTACATGTCTCAGATTTTGAAATATTCTGGTATTTTATTACTTCTAATTTTTTATCAACATTATCATCACAGCAATTACAGGTTTTTAACCCTAAAATTGTTATATGAAACGTAACATGTTTGTAATAAATTGAATAGGAAGCTAAGGATGAGGTTATCTTCTTTAGCGCAGTACTTGATTATTTCTTTGCCTGTGTACCTTGGCGCCTGCTTTTTTTTTTCTTTTTTTTTTTTTTAACTTTTATTTTAGATAGAGGGCTACATGTATAGGTTTGTCACGTGGGTATATTGCGTTATGCTGATGTTTGGGGTACCGATCTGTCACCCAGACAGTGAATATAGTACCCAATAGGTAGTTTTGGCTTAACTTCTTAAAAATAATATATATTTATGTGAAAATCAAATGTATAGGGAGAGTAATAGGTGTAATACATGCCTATTTCTTGCTAATTGACTTTATTTCTCTTTTTTCTGTATTATGAGTAAGGCAAAAGAGATGTGATATATTTCAACATTTTAAAATACAGCAACTTCAATATAAATAGATAAGACTTTAAGGGTAAAAATAGTAAGTACACATATTGCCAATTTCTCTTGCGGAAAAAGTGGTTATTACAAATTTTGAATCTTTGTCCTATCTCTTACATAATAGTTATTTAGGTTATATATTGAGAACCTGAAAGTTTAGTTCAATAGTTTAATATTTTATTCATCCATATGTCCATATGGTTCATTTTTATGAAGGTATTTTTACTGTTTTGAAGGTCACTCACTGTTAAACTGTTTGGGATTAAATCCTTATCAGCTTGATATCATATAGAATGGATTCTAATTTTAGTTATGTCACATACTAGCTGTGTGAAATGCGTGAGAATACATCTTTCAGATGGAAAGTCATTTTCCTGATCTGTCAAAGAGGATAATTCCTTTCCAAAATAAAAAAGAGAGTAATGCTTCAAATTTCTGAGGGATATTGATTGCTAAACTAAAATTCTATATTAATAAACCTAAATTTCCCAGGTGAGAAAGTAGAATAAAAACATAAGTCATTTAAGTCTCAAGTAATAAGTAAAGTACTTTATCTACAGTACCTGGAACATACATATTGAATAAATTGTTGAAACATAACATGTAACTCTCGGCAATGTTAACGATATGTTTCTCGGTCATTGTGGCCTCTTTCCCCATTCCCCAAATTTGGAAGGCTCTCAAGGTGAGGGATGGAATCTTTCATTCCTCTGATCACAAGCACATATACTTATTTTGTCTTATTTAGTAAGAAGACTTTATTTGCCTTTTTGTTCTCACCCAATTCTAGCTTTTGAAAAAAAATCTTTTGATAATAAGGAGGAAAATATGGCCCTATTATACATTATTCTAGACAGCTTGTCCTCCTCTATACCTACCTTTGATCTCCAGAGACCCTCAGAACTATGTGTCCATTCCCTCAATTTATGCTATTATCTGTTATGATTTTAGTCATAATGTTGAGGTTTTGAATTGATAGTTTAGCTGGCCATATTAAATGGTCTTATTTTCTAGATTAGGCTATTCTCGTATTGCTATAAAGAAATACCTGAGACAGAGTAATTTATAAGAAAAGAGGTTTTATTGGCTCACAGTTCTACCGGCTGTACAAGAAGCATAGCAGCATCTGCCTCGGGGGAGGCCTCAAGAAGCTTCCAGTCGTGACGGAAGGGGAAGCGGGAGCAGGCACTTCACATAGCAAAAGCAGGAACAAGAGGAGCAAGGTGGGAAATGCTACACAGTTTTGAACAGCTATATCTCACAAGAACTCATTATAGCTAATATAGTACGAAGTGGGGTGGTGCTAAACCATTCATAGGAAATCCACCCCAATAATCTAATCATTTCCCACTAGGCCCCACTTCCAATACTGGGGATTACATTTTGATATAATATTTGGGCAGGGACACACACATATCGCATACCATGGTGTCAGTGATCCCTGATTTTCTCAGCTGTGTAGATTGAAAATTTGATTTTGTTCAGAAAGCCCATAAGCAGACGGACTAACAAGAAGACTCATAATATATGTTCTGACAGAATGGATGAACAAACTAGAATAACAGTTTATTAAGAGTGAAGAGTGTGGTTTCCTTGTGTTTTCTAATGGGCATATTCTCTCCCTGAAGGCAATTGTGACACTAGGAAAAAATTATTCTGGGTAGTTCGTAGGTGTCATAGATTTCGTGATAAGCCTGGAATTAGCATATTCAAAGATCTAATCGTTGATATCATCAAGTAATGATAGCCTAGAAGATACGTGTCCACGTGTATCTTACACGAATTTTTGTGCCAATGTAGGTCTTAAGAACACATTTTGGGCTTAGGACATTCTCCTAAGCCATATGAATACTGCCATATTAGGGGTCTTTGGATTCCTGTGAACCTCTCAGTGTTTAGATTATCTCTTTAGTAGGCTTATGCTATAGATATGTGCTACTCTATTTATTGATAGTTCATTGGATCCCAACCCTGACTGCCATATTAGAATTTGCCTGGGGCATTTAAAGAATGAAAACATATTACCAAGGCTCTGTCCAAACCTGTTATTTCAGATAATCTCAGAGTGGGATGTAGGTATCAATATTTTTGTCTTATTTTGTATGTGTGTGTGTTTAGTTGTTGTTTTATGTGCAGGGGAGGGTGGGGCTTTTTGTTTAAGTCATCCAGTTGATTCTTTGGTATAGCCGTGGCTGAGAGCCAGGGAACTGTAATGAGCCACCTTCCTGTGGCATTTGGCCTATAAAGTAGCTTGTGCTAAGGTAACTTCTGCAAATATTTTATCTCGTTATGATTTTGCCATCCCTCTATTGAGATTCACATTAACAGGGAACTGTTAGCTTATTCGTTCATTATACTGTTGTATATTTTTGTTGCCAACTAATATCATGAGTAATTTTTTTAAAGAAAAAAATTATTAAATTATTAAAGTATTAAAGTATACCCGAAAGTAATAATGATTTGAATTGTTTTTTCCATAATGGCCCTAGGTGTTTTCACAAAGTAAACTTGATACCTAATGGACTGATGATTTGTCACAGTGGAATCTGAAATAGATCCGTAATGAGTTATGTGAATAATTGGTTATGTTAATAATTGGTCTGTTAGTTGGTCATCACCTATAGTATATATATGTCTAATAGACCTAACTGAACAATTGTGTATACTGCAATTCAAAATACATATTCCCTTCTACTTTCTGAGTTCATCCTTTCATCTGGAATATATGTTCCTTTGTAGCCACAGTGACATTTCAGGTACTCAAAGGGTTTCTAGAGTCCTTTTCTACTTTCTGGTACAAATCGTGTCAGTTCAATACAGTGCCTTAAAAATAGCTTTATATGCTTGAGATGAAATTTGAAGGATGTAAAGGAATTAGTCAAGCAGGAAAGAACGTTTTAAGTAGATAGTACATCATGGAGTATATAGTCAGTACAGAGATACTAAAATGTTCCTAATTTCAAAATGTGATTTATTCTTTGTGTTTCCTAATGTTCCCTAGTAAGGATGAACAGGCTTAAGTCTACTTGTGTGCCAGAAAGTTACAGCAAAATACGATAGGAAGTAGAAGAGCAAAGAAGCTGAATATGGATGCCTATATTAGTCTGTTTTGCATTACTATAAAGGAATACCTGGTAATTTTTAAGGAAAGATGTTTATTTGGCACATGGATCTGCACACTATGGCAAGCATGGCAACAGCATCTTCTTGGCTTCTAGTGAGGCCTTGAAAGTTTTATTCCCTGTAGAAGGTGAAGGGGAAGCAGGTGTATCACATGGTGAGAGAGGGAGCAAGAGAGAGAGGAGGAGGTTCCAGGCTCTTTTAAGCAACCAGCTCTCACATGAACTCATTACAGTGGGAAAGACACCAAACCATTCATTAAGGACCCACCCCCAATGACCCAGACATCTCCACCAGGCCCGACCTTCAACATTTCAACCTCCTCACATTTCAGCATGAGATTTGGAGGGGACAGACATCCAAACTATGCCAATGCCCTTTGTATAAAACTACAAAAAAATAGCATGATTAATATTTTATATATATTTGAACTGTGTGTTTTATTCTTAAATCTGGTTTGGTTTTGTGTTAGGGAAAGAAGTATTTCTGATTAAATGTAACTTATAATTTAAAAAGAAAGTCAGTACTTCACATGAAATTTTATTTATTGCCAAAGGAGAATACTACAAGAAAGATGTCTATTTTCATATTCTAAGAAAGTTTTTACTCTTGTATTACTCTGTAATTTGGGAATTTCTAGTTTAATATATTCAGATTTATACATTATGGAGATTTTTTTCATAAAACAACTAGACAGTACCTTTTTGAGTCATCACTATTTTAATTGAACTGGTAAGCATTCTGTTCTTACATTTCCTTTTGAAGATCTAGCCAGTAGTTATATCAACTTTTGTATTGCTAATAGATATGGAGGCAGGCTTTGGAGAGAATCCTGTGCTTAACTTAACCAATGCCGGCATTGTCTTACTTTTTTAAAAAACTGTTATATTGAAGAGGACTAATAGTCAAATGTCCTCTTACTGTTAGTTCTCTGACCACTGTAAATCAAGGAGGAAATTAACCTTGTTTGTGGACTAAGGAAATAGAAAAACACAGATTATAAAATTCTATTTTATGTTTGTGTTACTCTTAGGACATTTCATATTTTATTGTTATTTCTCAGTAAAATGTAGATATTGATATCTTTAATGGTAAATGCAATGATGAACTTTTGTACCCTGTTGGACCAAGGTACTTTAATAATCACTGATTGTTTTTTCCTTTTAGGAGAGAAGCCACAAGTCTTACCGTCCCTTAACAGTATTGACATTTCGCTTAAATTATTTGTTAAGTGAACTAAAACCAATGTCATATCATCTCCTGAATATGATTTTTCATGCTGTGGTTAGTGTGATATTTCTCAAAGTATGCAGACTTTTTCTGGACAACAAGAGTAGTGTGATTGCTTCTTTACTTTTTGCAGTGCACCCAATACACACAGAAGCAGTAAGTAAAACTATGAATTGATTTGTTTTCTTTTTTCTTTTTTACAAATCCTGCACAGTGATTATAATGGTATATATTTTTAAGAAAAAAATATTAACCCTGACTTTAATCCAAATATTTGAAGACTGTTAAATTCGTACAGTTAATTGTTAACTTTCTAGTACACAAAGTCTAACTTCTTACTGTGTAAAATTTTTAAATTTAAAATTTTTGAAACAAACATTTTTTTCATTCAAGAATATAAAATCTATTTAGAAATATATACATGCATATAGTTCTTTGCTCACTTTTTTAAATAAAGAATTTCTAAGGACTTTTTAAAGTTTATTGTCTTTTTAAACTTTAGTTTTCGGATTTATGAGGTATAACTTTTTGGATTTATGATGCCTTTGTATATTAAGAACTTCATATTTTAAGAAAATATGTAAGAAGTACTTAAGTTCTAGATATTCTACCATATTTAAATGGTTACCATTGAAGAAAGCTGGATAAAGAGTACACAGGATCTCTCTGTACTAGTTTTGAAACTTCCTGTAAGTCTTATTATTTCAAAATAAGTTACAAAAATTATAAACTGTTAAGAGTCACTAATAAATTTCTATTTATGTAAGATTCACAAATTCACCACCTGAGGGCACCAAAAGAATGTTTAAGAAACAAATGTGCACTTGAAAAGTTATGGAAATTAAAGTATTTTTACTATTATATATAGTAATTTTTCAAGATATTCTTTATTAATATGGACCCCCTTCGTTTTTCTTTTCTAGGTAACGGGAGTTGTTGGAAGAGCAGAACTTTTGTCATCTATCTTTTTTCTAGCAGCTTTTTTATCATATACCAGATCAAAAGGACCAGACAATTCCATAGGTACATGTCTAACATTTGATTTTTTTTAATAGTGCTAAAACTTGATTAAGGAATTTTTATTTACTCCTAGTGCTTCTTGTAATACATTATATACCACATTTGGGATTTATCTTTATATATTGTTTTACTTTAGCGTATGTGAAAATATGAAATATGTAACATTGCTAGTATTTAGGAAGTTTGTGTATAATTTATATTTTTATCATGAGTTAATAGATTTTATATGATCTAATTTTAAAAACCAAATAACCTTAGAGTAGAGGAGTTTTAGAGTTAGTCCTGGTTCCATCTTCTGTTATCTATAAATGATGTAGATACCAGTATTTCAATTGTCTTTGGATAAATAACACCTGGTAGACTGTGATATCGTTTAGGCAAGGTTAAAAGCCTCCTAGAATATAACTTTTATTGTGTGTTGATCATAGCTATTTACTGAGCGCCTACCTTGTGACCTATCCTGGAAAGTGCTTCGTATACATTAGCTCATTACTCTTAATGATGCCTGGCATTATCAGAAAACAAGTTCCAGGCAATAAAAATGATTTTTTTAGAGTATGGGCACAGTGGGCGCAAACCTTTAAGTTCTTGGGGAGGGGGTGGATTTTCTCACTGTAGTTCCAAGGTACTCATGACAAGAAGCCTCGTTTTATGTGTGGAAACTGAGGTTCAAGAAACACATGATTTACCCAAACAACTTAGAGTGTTCTGGATTTGTAATATAAGTAGGGTTGCCTTTGCTGCTCTGCATAATGCCTTCTTAAAACAGTTTGAGTGTCCGCATAGCATAATAGTTAAAAGCATGGACTAAAGAGTCTGGTTGCAAATTTTAGCTCTACTGTTTATTTACTTGCTCCATTCACTGTAATACATCAGGCAAATTAACCTCTCTGTGCTTACATTTCTTTATCTGTTAAATGTGGATAATAATAGTCCCCTACCTGTGCAGTCCATCATGTAGTAAGAGGTACTTTAGTAACTAATATGGAATTGCAAACCAATATCCTCTTTAAGTACCATCCTCACCAAAACCTGAATGGTAAAGCTAGAAAATACTGTGGCCTACTGGATTATAATTAGGCTCTCGATTACCTGTCTTATCATATCTTCTGCCGTTCTTGCCCTAGCTGTCTTCACTCTAGCTAGATAGACCTTCTTGCTGTTCTCAAACAAGCAGAGCACCCACCTTTGTACCTGCATTTCCCATTATTGAATTTTCTTCCCTTAGATCTTTATGTAGTAGTCTCATTTATACACTACTCTTTATTATCAGGCCTCAGCTTAAGTATTCTGTCTTAGAAAAGCCTTCCTTGTTCTAACTGAAATAGCTTTTCACCATATTATATCTTCTGTTCCAAATACTTGGGCTTGGTGCTTTTTAATGATTTCTTATTCTTCACAATTCTAATATCTTGCCTTATTTCCTTAAGAATTACTTACTTGGGCTGAGTGCAGCGGTTCACACCTGTAATCCCAGCACTTTAGGAGGCTGAGGCGGGTGGATCACATTGTCAGGAGTTCAAGACCAGCCCGACCAATATGGTAAAATCCCGTCTACTAACAATACAAAAATTAGCCGGGCATAGTAGCGGATGCCTGTAGTCCCAGCTACTTGGGAGAATGAGGCAGGAGAATCACTTGAACCTAGGAGGCAGAGGTAGCAGTGAGCCAAGAACACGCCACCACACTCCAGCCTGGGCGACAGAGGGAGACTCCGTCTCAAAAAGAGATCGCACCACTGCACTCCAGCCTGGGCGACAGAGGGAGAATTCATCTCAGAAAAAAGAATTATTTGAAATTCTTGGTTTGTCTCTTTAAGTAACTCTGATTCAGTAGTATATGTTATTATGTTTGTTCTCTCTGTTTTATGATTGTTGTATCCTTTAGATATTTAGTTATTTTGGCTTGTGAGCTCAAGCCACGTGTTATTCTAAAGTTATAAACCACTGTGCCTGTTAAAGGAAAGGCCAGGGCCACTCTTTGTTCAACCTGTGAGTCTGAAGGGATGAAAGGAATTATAAACCAGGATGTAAAGTTCCAGGTTCCGCAGAACTACTGTGGATCACTGTTTTTCCTACCAGTACTACTAGGCACGCTTTCTGTTTTCTTTAAGAGAATCAGCATTAAGGGGCCAGTGTACCATCCCTCTGCATTTAAATGGTAGCTCTGTGGAAGTTACTGCCTAGGAGTGATTGGTTGGTTTGTACCTTTTAAAAAATGTCTACCTCTTACCCCATCAAGACTTCTGAAGTGCTCTGCTTTTACCTCTGGAACACCCACTAGCCATTGTAGCTGTGGATTTCTGCAGTAATGGAGCAGATAGTGATCTACTTAAAGCAGCCAGGAGAGGATAGAACAAAAGTTAAAAAAAAAAATTCTTACTCTTATCTTCTACCTTAAATGTAATCCCTCATAACAGTCACAGAACCACGCATGCTTAAAGTAACCTTGAAATGCCAAGGAGGTTTTTTGTTTTTGTTTTTATTTAAAAAAAAAAAAAATGTGTCTTACAAAGTATTTTTCCCTCTTACTTATCTTTTTCTAGGGTTGATTTTTGGGGAAGGGACCACAGATCAATCTAGTTCACCATTTAACCAAAACAAAAACAGGGTAATGTTATTTTCTATACCTTTAACTTGCATTTCTTAATTTCTAACCTGAAAATACGTAGTTTACATTTTTCTTTTGTTTATTGCTTTCTCACAGTAGAGTGTGACCTTCATTAGGGTAGGTAACTTTTTCTCCACTTTTTGATCTTCATTTCCTAGAATGATTCCTAGTTTACAGTAGGTAATTAGTATGAGTATATTGAAGAAATAAGCAAGTGAATGAATGTAATATATTTTAAATTCTAATTGAAAAAATACTGAAATCTACCTTGGACCTCTCTTTATCCTCTTGACCACTGTGATACTTTGTACTCTTAGTAATTTTACCTTTGAAGCCACAGTTTCCTCATCATCTTTGTATTCCCTGTTGTATCTAGTATACACTGGCCTGTGCAAAGGTTTTCAAGTTGTAATTATTTATATTCATTTTTACTTCTATATTATTCATGTCCCATACCCCTTTTGTAAATATGGTCATCCAATTTCAGGGCCTTCATACTTGATTTTTTATTACTTTAGGTTTCTGCTTAAATATCCACTTAAATGTCATCAATATCACTACTCATCTTTCCCAGTGGTGCTATTTTTATTTCCCTTCATTCTCTTCTTTTCTTCTTAACACTTACACTTTGTCACCATTTGACAGAGTATATCATACTTGTCTCACTTCCCTATACCCTTGAAATGTAGTAGATACTTAAAATAACTGTTTGAATAAGTGATGGATGAAGATGTGTTTCTTTTACATATGTAGAGTTAGTTTAGAAGCCTGTATTTTGAAATGGGAATGGATTTAAGTGTCCTTAACTTATTTACCAGATGTACTTGTTTTGGACAAAATCACATGTAGTAACTTAACCACGGTGATCTGATTGTGAAAGTGTTTATATAGTCATATACTCACTAGAGGCTGAATAACTGAAGTGATTGGTTTCAGTAAGGCATTTGCATTTATTACTCTTAGTTGGTGAGATTGAATTCAAGGTTATAAAAGGTAACTGTTTGCTTTTTCTTCCTTGGAGTAGAAATACAAATTACTGAGAAGCTCTGAATTTAAAATCAGAAGAACCATGAAGTCTTGGTCTCCTTATTCTTGTTACTTTTTTAAAAAATACCTCTACAATTCTTTCCTCATCTTAAAAATGGGTATGATTACATCCGTGTTCTTACTCCATAGAGTGACTTTAAGATTCAGTGAAATATATGCCAAACTGGCTGTTTAAACTGTTTAAAATATCTGCTTTCAATGCTGTTATTTCCTACGAGTTTTTATGTAGACATACGCATCCATTCATACTATTTTCTATATCCTTCATTCGCCTAGCTTACTCTCACCTCTATTTCTTTATTTATGCATCCACCTTTCCCAGTTTTTCCGTGTCCTGTATATCCTTCAAGGGCCAACATTAGGTCCAGCCTGTTTTGTCAATAACCATCTTCTGATTTCTTCCTCTATGAATTTCTTGTTGAATTTAGCATTGTAATATAATATAATCTAGTATATTAGTATTGGTGGTTTTGGCCTAATAAGATTATAAGATTTTTTTTTTTTTAATTATACTTTAAGTTCTAGGGTACATGTGCATAACGTGCGGGTTTGTTACATATGTATACTTGTGCCATGTTGGTGTGCTGCACCCATCAACTCGTCAGCACCCATCAACTTGTCATTTACATCAGGTATAACTCCCA